CTATTGTCTTCGGTCTTCCACTCTTTGTGGTTATGTTTCCGGTTGGGATCTCGACATATTCACACTTCCGGTTTTGAATTAGAAGGCAGCCAACCACGACTTTTCTCAGAGAGATATTGCTACATTGATTATTATGGATGTTCTACTGTAATACATTGCTATTTTTATCTCTTTATCCTAATTAGATTAGATATGTAATTACTGCCGCTATATAATATGTCTTTGCCCGATAAATGAATGATTATGAAACTTTTCAAAAAGCAACGATTGCCTTATAATTTGTGTTACTATGTTAAAATAATCATTTACTTTTCTATCAAAACTCTATTAATTTCTTTGAACAAACCGATTACTTCCTATTCAATATTTCTGAGTTAACTCAGAATGGGAAAAAACATTGATATCATGAGAAAATAATAGCATGAGATCGATAAAACAATCGTGAGAACGAGATACTATTATGTCGAGGTGCTTTCTGTTTTGCCCGTTTGTTTTCGCTAACAATTTGTCGTCGACAATTTTTGTATATCAAAGATAATCGATATTTACATTGGGAGAGTTAACTTTGTTTTAACACGTTCATTGTGTTTTTCCTTCCGGACAGATTAAAACAAAATCTTTCTCATCAGAAGGCCTTTTGTTATTCAATCTTTACATTAATGACATGCTGAGAAAATAATCGTCAGATAAGACGCTAATGTCATATAATTCACGAATAAAAAGCAAGAATGCCAGATTTCACTTTTATCTGGAACATTAGCTCTTTCAAAGGAAAATTTTTCTATCAGAGCATGACGATTGTCTGCTGAGCTTTCCAAAACGTAGGCTTTCGCAATGTTTATTAATTCATTTATAATATTCTTCATAAGATTTTATATCTTTATTGTTATATTACTACTTAATAGAGTTAATAATATTTGCAAACATCGAGTTTTTTCTTCCAAAAAAAGTTGCGAGAGTCTTGAAAAATATTCAAAAATATACCACGCTCGAATTTGTAACGCGAGGATTACTATCGACACACTTGCGTCAGTGGCACCTGCGCGAGCATGACAAACAAGTGAGGAAAATTGCTTTATATCGCCCACGATAAAAACGCGACATGTACGAGCCTAAACACAATTAACGAGCGCCGCAGCAAGGTTGCCATGCTTACCCTACATTTTCAACAAAGATATGAAAGCTCCACTTGCGAAATTTCCTTAAACGTTAAATTTTATCAATTTAAGCGATTAACAGATTAGCATTAAGTATGAATTACATAACCAAGTGAATATAAATTTAGCGGATTAAAAAAAACGTGAACTTAATCTTTAAAACGGAATAAATTTAAGTCTTTTGTACAAGTAAAAAGTTAAAAATAGAAGAATACACACGGAGCTGCCGAGAGAATGCAACGCGGCATATGTTGTCAAGATAATAACGCTTATCGGGACAAGTGGTCTTTAACATAACAAGACAGATAGCGAATTAATTGCAGCTGTGTTTCTTCGGTAATAAGCAAGAAAAAAAGTGATGCGCAAAAGTGTCGACCTGTCCATTCATTCCGCTATGAAAAAAAGCAATTCTGTGACACGATTCGATTTCTGTCTCTCGGCTATGCCAAGTTTTCGTATCCGCATCGATTGTTCGATGCATCGCGAATACTCGTACGTTTCCTCCTCGCGCTGTTGCTTTATCGCTCGCTTGATAGCGTAATGATGCTCGATCGAAAACTCAACAAATCGTCATTTTTAACGAGACCGAAAGCCGACTAAGCAGGAAATCGATATTTTTGCCGGCGCCAATTTCATAATTGAAACATTCATTACGAGCAACTTTTCGACGACAATTTAAATGTTCTTCGAAACGCGAACTTTCCTCGCATATGCGCAGTTGATAATGTCCGCTAGTTTCTACTATTTAGATTGGGAGCGGAGATTTTCTTTAACGAACGCACGTTGGCTTAAACGATTTTATTAGCTGAACGTATTTGACTTCGCGCGCGATGGCTGTCCCGCCGCTAAAGGGGACTGACCCTCCAAATATGATGAGAAAGCATTAACATGCACGCGCCAATTCGCCTTTCAATTTCTATTACGATGTTCTCAAGCCAGACTATCGTACCGATACATATTAATAACTTCTTATTATGCAAAAATAATGAAAAACAGCTTGAAAATTCGAGTGAAAGATAAATGATTGAAAAAAAATGATTGTTATGTATATATAAATAAATGATTCTTTTTAACGTTTATGTCGAATTTTATGCCGTTTCGCAGACGCAAATAAGTAATGAAAAATAGAAGAAAACAGATTAAAAGTTCTCGGATTAACAGAAAAATAATTCTGTGCACATGCTTAATGTGCATTTTATTGAATCCGCTTCGTGTGTGTCTCTTCTTTCAAACAACTCTCAAGTTACGTAAACTGCATTTCGTAGATAATAAGAGTATATTAAAGAGTTAAAAGCAAACAAATACGCTCGGTTATAATTGCTCCGTACGAAAATATGTAATTGCTGGTCCAGTTTGTAAGTCGTATGGAAAGCGAAGGACCGTGATGAATATGCGATAAGTCCGAGCGCGGTTTAGGATCGATAAAATGTCATTAGTAAACAAAGATGCGATTATCCGCTTAACGAGAGTATACACGAAACTGCAGAGTTTATTCTAGATATTACAGATTCACAAACTAGAATATACCTTCCAAGAAATTCAGTAAACATTTCCGTTGAGCTTTTATCAGTATTCTACTTTATGTGCGTAATTTGTAATCTACTATATTCGGTATACGTTGCGGTATACGAATGTCTGCTGAGTGAAACGATTTTATCACGAAAATACATTAGTATACACCGGCAATGATATCAATAACAAAACAATTAGAAATATAATGGTTTTGGGAATTTTCCCAAAAATAATTTCCCGGCAAAAATGTGTCGTTAAATTCAAATTCAGGAAGAAAAAATCCGATTTTCTGAAAATATCATACATTCCTACAGATTGAGCATACCAACAGCAAAATATGCGGGCAAACCATCGATCGGTTCTTGGTGCCCATAAAGAACGACACGATATTTGTACAGGTGTGTAAAGTGGCACACTAATGCTTTACTGCCCAAATACAATACCTTTCCCCGGTACTTGTTGCGGTATTACATGTCGCGATAAGTGCTGTAAAATTTTGCCGAGAAGCGGTAATCCTACCGTCGTGTTTACGAACGGCAATCGAACTGCGACGAGACACAGATGACGTTCGAATGTGCATTCTGGAAAATAACAATCGTCTCACATTGTTGAGTAAGTTTTCTTCAAGAAATAATTGAGCCAACGAATTAACTTCGAAGACGATCGTATTTATCGCAAACGACAATTGAACGTTGATTCCCAATGGAATCGAACGTATACGTATCTCGCGCTCCGGCCTTCTAGGAAATAATAAAAATACCGGCGTTTTCTTCGAACTTAAGAAATTACTATCTGCGAACGTGCGAAGCGACGGGCGGGCGATAACAGGAACAATAACTAATAATAAGTATACACGTCTGATGTGTAAAACGCAACAACGCGCGAAACATATCGCGCGCATTGATGTTTATTGCCGGCATGAAACGTAGATTCGCTCGTGAGAGTTACATGATTAACCAGCCAGGTTTCTAGAAACCTGGCGTAATTCCGTTAATGAGAAAGTGATTGATTTGCATCCAATTCCATATATATATTCCCGCAGAAAATTCTGACTCGAAAGGGTCAAGGGAAATCGCGTTCGTGTCCCCTTTTGCACGTCGATCGAGGATAAGAAATTACATGTCGCGATAAATGAAATATGCGCATATGCGTAACCATTGTTATCGTTGCGAACGCAACGAGCAATGAAAAATGGTCTCCGTAGCATTCGCGGGATGGTAGATGAATGTGAGAGTCGCGATGAATAGACAGGGGGTCTACCCGGCAGAAGAATTATCGATGTTACGAAACGTAATGATGTTTGTCGTATCATGTAAATTTGTCTCTTCACTCATTTCCTTGAGCTTAATTAACACAAACGCGATGATGAATGGCAATATGCGAGATGCATGCCCGGATACGCGGCTATTCGACATTCATACAGTCTGTGTGTCATGCGCTTTTTCCGAAGCGGAGAGATATTAACCCAATTTAAAAAAAAAAAGTAGTATTTGATTGAAGAACACGCAATTAAAAAGTGAATTCGCGCGGTTTTAGACTGGAGTTAATTTTTATAAAATCTTACACATACAACACGCACACTTTTCCGGTTAAACTCAATCATATTTTACTAAATATTAGAATAAAATTCTTTGTCAGTTACTTGTTCGAGTGCTAAAAACTCGCAAATAAATTTACAAATAAATGGCATATCAATGTCAAGAGTCGTAGTTGTTATCTACGAGAAACGCGTGTAAGAAGTAGAAATGTATTTTCCAATGACATTTAGCTAATAAATTTGATAAATATAGCATGTATTCAAGTGTTCCTCACGTTTTGCATAAAAAAGAAGCTTATAAATTTCCAAGAATAGAATGTAAAATGAATAAAATCTCCCTTATAAACTCCGACTTTATCTCAATCCAAAGCACGTGGATAACATTACAAATAATGGTATTTGTTAGTAATATTGTGACAGCATATTGTAGGCCGTGTAAAGACTATCTCCGTCTATATCTGACACAAATATTCGAATAACGCGGAGGATTACGGGTCTCAAAAGAACGTAGGCGTCCCTGCGATTCCAACAGTTTCAGCTTCCTTTCGTTCGCGATCTCGCGGACGAGTACTTTCTCGAGAATATACTCGCTGTATAGGAAGCAAGAAATTCGCGATTGCAAGCATGGAATTTTAGAGACGTGTATATGTTAGCAAACATTAATAAAATAGGATTTCTCGAGAAACTGCACATATTCTTCGTAGCACGAGATTTCCGACATTTCTCGGTAAACTTTTCAGCTAATCTCATTGCGGTTTCTTATCGGAAGAATCAATTTGTATGCGCACACTCACCGGGTCGGAGAGATAAGACTCCCATAATTCCTTGAGGTCGCCCGGTCCCACGTCGAAAAATGCCATGATATTTTGTTTCCTTTAGCTTTCCGAGTAGTATAAGCGTCGCCGGTCAGACGAACATGATATCTGTCCATGAAGGACGAAGGAAATTAAAGGGTCGACATGCTGTCGCCACGGAAATTCAGCATCCTTATAATCTCACAAACTGGTAGATATCTGAAAGCAAAAGATTGTGAACTGATATTTCATGGCGGATATCATTAATTATCTCTTTTATTCATTAAAGCGACGTAATGTGAGATCTGCAATTACGCAGCATGCTATTTAATTGCATTAAACGAGATCCGCGAGAGAGTCTCTTGGGTCTCTTAAGATTAAAATAGGATCTTGCTATTTGCAGAAAATGAGAGAAAACAAATTATGCGTCGCATTTGTAACCCAATTAAAATTAGATTAGAGAAGTACGAGAGATAAAAGAGAAATATAATATTCACTTTCAAATATATAAATAAAATAGAGAAGGGAAGACAGAGATAAAAAGAGAAAAAAAGGTTCATGTAAGTGTTACTGAAAAATCCAACCGGATGTCAGATGCTGATCAGTAAAAAGAATATTGATAAAGAAGCGCGCGACTTATAGATTATTAACATATGCACGTATGCGCATCCGTGACCTCAGTACCGCGTTTGGTATCACGCGCGCGGCTTATTATCTGCCGCGGCCGGTTTCACGTTTAATGCCTTTTGTCCTATATTATGCTCCTATATACGAGATAATGCATAACTGCATTGCAGATTGCGGCGCGTTCTAACGAGTTCAATGGACCTATCTTTATGTGAGCTAAGTATATTATATATATATTTGTGAGAAAACGCGAAAGAGAAGATGCTTCCGATTATCATGTAGTAATGTAATCGAATGTAATCGAGTGTATAAAATTGTGTAAAAAAAAATAGCGGATAAAGGTTTTAAATTATGTTTTAAATTATTATAATTTCTAATTGTATTTTATAACTCTTTAAATTTTAATAACATTGTACTATAATTCCTTTTCATTTTTATATGTATATATATTGTTTGTCTTTTTCTCTCTCTCTCTCTCTCTCTCTGCCTCTCTTTCTCTCTTTCATGTACATATATAATTTTTACAATCCTATCTATAAACAATTATATTTACAAATTAAAGTTTCTGAATCTCTTTATACTTACATTAGAGAAACAATATTAAGAAAATCTTTAGATAAGAAATATTGTATCAATTTAAAAAATTCTCTTGAAGTATGATGAAAGAAGAATTCAATTGAATTGCTTTTCATATATGTAACAAGCATAAACGGGAATCACGATCGAGAAGACTGATTAAAGTATGTCGAGAATTTTAATCGGTTTCATTTGTCGGAAAAGAAAATTACGTAGTGTGCCATATGCGATGTAAATATCCTTCCTTAATCTGAAACCTGGTCTCTCTTTTAACCGCAGATCTTTGTACGTGCAAGATAATATTTCCTCATAAAAAGATTCATGCATAAGAAATTAAGTAAAGAATTTTTACACGAGCGAAGCTTTTGCTTTGAAAACTGACGTTAGGATATACGATATAGCATCGCTGATGCTAGAAGGATTAACCGCGTCCATGCATTTAATCGTCGATTATGTCATGGAATGTAATCACAAGAATAGTTACAAAAGGATATTAAGTTTCGATACTTTTAACGAATGACACAGTCGCCGTTAAATAGCATACACTATGTTTTTAACACACACGCGCATATATGTTATTTCACAGATGAAACAGTTATACATTGATATATGCTAATCCTATTAAACTCTGTCAATATACAGTTATTCTACTCTCTCTTCAAGCGCGTGTATAATTCAAAATTAATGACGAATCCATTTCTGTGTCGCATATTAAACATTAACACCAGTAACAATAACGTAACAATCCATTATTTAATATGTGTGTCATCTTGTGTATCATATCACGATATCATTATCGAAGCTGCTCTTGAAAAAATTATTCATTTCCGCACGTATCAGTTCCATTACTTTTATCAATAAGTCATCGCCGGAAGATACACTGATAAACGATCCTCCGCATCATGTTCTCTCGCGCGAGCACTATCAGATCTATATTTTCAATTTGTACGATTTTTGCATGTTATTTTGCACGATAATATATTCTTCTCTTTTATTTTCCCGAATAACTCGTTCGCGCGCAAATGTCACTTCTATATAATCGTCTCGCTCGATTCGATCGACCTTTCAACGCGCAAATGATTCCATGTAATCGCAGTCGATATCGATCGAAGCTGGTATTTTAAGAGAGAGAGAGCAAGAGAGAGAGAGAGAGAAAGAGAAAGATATATACGGATTCCGGCGAACGAGAGTACGTCGTCTCTATAAACCGTATAACAGCAAATCTTGTCGCGAACGTTGTAACCAATGCGCCAAACTTATAAATATTAACATCATTCATTAGAGAGGTTTATCGCGACGAGACACTATAAAAACTTTGTTTTATTTTCGATATGCGTGATTGAGAAATCGCAAGAATCGTGATATGACATACACGCAGTTATCGATTTTTTGAACCCCGATGACGCGATCTGGCCCGTCGTTGGTGAGAGCGGTTGAACGCGACCGGTGGCACCGAGGGGGTTGCTCGTCGAACGAATGCGCGTGCTACGACGTTCTCCGCGTGAATGCAGGACCAGGGCCAGGGACCAGCGACTAGCGGGGCCGCACGTGCTGGCGCCGCCGAGGCACTTTAATCGCCGTCGCTCGGCCAATCGCGATGAACCACCTGTTACTAGCGTAGTGAGTTATCAGCTGACAGTGAATGGCCGCGGACGTTGCGCGCGCAGCTTTATCAGCTGTGACGTGCGTGGCCGGATGGACTTTTAAAAGCGCGCGCAACCACCGCGAAATCGCCCTGATGTTTTAGCGATACATCGGCGACTAGGAGACGCCGCAGGAAACGTGATGTCTGCGACGGGAAATGGGAAACGAGGTTGGCAGATTGTTCGGATGAGACGCGGGAGAACGATAAGATAATGTGTGGGAAATGGGCGCGAGAAAAGTGATTGGTGAACAATGCTTTCGTTGATTGCATCTTGCTTTCAAAATCGAGGGATCTCTCTTTGAAGCGTTCGGTATGAAAGAGGCGATTTATTTACCGCTCCGATTCGTGAAGCAAAGTCGAGAATATACGGCAGCACGATAATAATAGCATGGGATTAATGGATCTAACGGTATGCGGGTGAAGAAAGCAATGCGGGCAATCGATGCACCCACACTTACCACACACACACACACACACACACACAGACAGACAGATACACACACAGACACACACACACACGCGCGCGGCTGGGCGCATTGGATTGCATTTGATTCTGAGGCAGACTGACTACGACTACAATACTTGATTACAACCAATGAGAACGCTCAAACATAATTCCTTACAATCTGTTCGTTTAGTTGCACTTTCTAAATGTTATTTCTTTTTTTTTCTAATATGCAAAACAGAATACATCAGCTTAGAAACATATTTTTTTCTAAATCGACTTTTTTTGTCGAATATTCAGTATAATGCTATTTTTCTCTCTTGTGCGAACTTACATTTTAATATCAAGTATTTTCAATTTAACTTATCTAGAAAATAAATTTATTATATATCTTATTAACTTAGAAAGCCAGTTTTCACGAAAAATTCTTCATTTTCAATTGTTTATAATTCAAAAACTTACTAATTCAAGGAAAAAGGCCAAGTTTGTTATATTAAATAGAAGAAATATACGATACGCAAATTATAAATTTGCGCAGTTTTGTTGATACTTTCGATAGATTTCCATTTGCGCATTTGGCACAGGATATGCCAAAATACGCTACATAGTTGCAGGTCTATCTGATGTAACATGTTCAATATTTATTTTGTAAACAATTGATAAAAACTGCACAATCATTATTCTATCTAGAGCGACGAATGGAAATAATAGATATATCTCTAAGAGAATCAGGTGGTTTGCCCATATAAGTGAGAATTTCTATATCCGTTGTGTTATGTAATTATATTCGCAATTTGCAACGCGCTTATCGCAATTTACGTCAGAAAGAGTACGAGTCCAACGCCGGATATTCAATCAACGGAAAGAGGTCTTACTTCTCCTTTGTCCACCGTAGTTCTCGTTAGAACGAGGTTCTAACGATACTTCCAGATGCGTTTCTGCGTCGCAGCCGCAGCGACAAAAATTAATTGCGCAACCCTCTGCGCAGAATAATATATAAAATTATAGCGTACATTGTTGCGACGATTTAACTCGGTCTGTTTGCTACACCGACTCACCTATAGAGCGCCTCTCTATCGATTTTGCAATTATCTCGCAACATACATACAATGTATGTACATGCACAATACATGTTCCCGCGATGATCATTTATGCTCTAATAATATCCGAACGATCTACGGAAATATATCGCGTGTTGTATGGCTCTAATGCCGGATTGGCATTTAAGCTCCTATCGCGATTGTCTGTAGACACCGCGTATGGAAGGAACATTGAGTCATAAAGTATGACGCTGTCGCTATTTTTATACGCTGCGCTATTTGCGGCGTATATAACCACCATGTAAGCCTGGTTAATTTTTCAAAATAAAGTTTTTATTCTAATTTGCTTTTACATCGTATCAATATCGTCCAAATTCACACAGTAGTAGAAAACCGCGTGTCATCAATTATACACTTCTATATATTATATCTAGACTGCTAACAGCAATGTGATAGCGACGATGTGATAGGTTAAGCTAGGGCAATCATTTACAATTGGGCAGAATATACATATATAGGTTGGATTAATATATACTGTATAATATATACTATTCGCAAATTGCGAATGTAATTACATAACACAACGGATATAGAAATTCCCACCTGTGGTAGAATCACCTGATTTTTTTATATCTATTATTTCCATTCGTTGCTCTAGATAGAATAATGATTGTGCAGTTTTTATCTGTTGTTTACAATAAATATTCAATATATTACGTCAAATAGATCTGCAACTATGTAGCGTGTTTTGGCACATCCAGTGTCAAACGCGCAAATGGAAATCTATATCGGAAATATCAACAAAGCTGTGCAAAATTTATAGTTTGCATATATATAATTGCGCATATTTATAGTTTTGCAATATTTATAGTTGCGTATATTTCTTCTATTTAATATAGCAAACTTGGCCTTTTCATCTTATCAATGACACATATCGAATTCTGTGATACTCAATATGACATTTTGCCCAATTGTAAATGGTTGCCTTTGTTTCACATTTCACCATATGAGATATAGCCGTGTTAGCAATCTAGGTATAATATATATGGAAGTCTGTGATTATACACGCTTCTCAGCAATAAAATTTTACATATATATATATATACATATATATGCATGTATGTGTATATATATATATATATATATATATACACATACATGCATATATATGTGTGTATGTATTTCGTAAAATACATTTTAATTTCGGTGTTTCCCTTTCTCTTTCGTAATAACAAAATAAACTCTTGCTTATAATATATAGTATCTCCGTGTACCGACATATAGCAAGCTAAACGTTAAATGTTTAACGCGTGTTGCGCAGCAAATAGTACGATTAATCTATCACTTGTCCGTGATTAGTTTAGTCGGAACAAATTAATTGTACAAGATATAGATATTTATAGGGAAACGTTGTGTCAATAAAAAAACGTCTCTCGATAAAACAGCATCAAGGTAACGAGTAATAATAAGCCTCAAGTGCGTCGTTATAATCCCATTAAGACAAATAAGTTAACATTAAAGTTTACATAATTCCTGTAGACATTGCGTGATGAGATGGCATATGCCATAAAAAAAAACGAAAAGTGTATATAAGTTATTAATGAATTTGCGCGCGCGGCAACTCGTGTGTACAGTACATACGTCTAGATATTAAGTAACGCGTGTACTCTTAAAACACCCCTTTTAAAGCAGATCGTAATAACGCGTTGCGCATCGACGTCACCAATTTCTCCAGCTCCTCGACCTTCATCTTCAGTACCTTGTTATCCCTCTCCAGCTTGACCGCCTTAATGGTCATTTCCGATTCCTTGGCTTTCTTATTCATCCGCGATCTTCGCGACGCCTCGTTGTTTTTCTCTCGACACTCCCTATACTGCAACAGGGTGATATCGGAATCGTCCTCGGAATCGCTCTCTTCGTAGTACCTCTTCCTTTCGTTCTTGTCCCTCGTCTTTGTTCTAACGCTTATCTCCCTTTCCTTGTTACTAGCGGCCTTGGTACTAATGGTCCTCATCCTCTCTGATCTACGAGATGACACTACGGGAGCTTCCACCGACGACGAGGTCGACGACGAGGTCACTGTCGACGATGCACGTGTTGACATCCTCCGACGTGTTGATATCGTCGGTTCGTTGATCTCCTCCTCCTCCTTTACCTTCGCGGAAGAAGTACGCGAAAATAACGGTGGCAACACCGTCGAGTGCAATTTGAGTTTCAGCATGGATGAGGAATCGGTGGAAATGCTGCCTTCCAGTGAACGCATTTCATCCTGTGGTGAAAATTATAATTTCGTCAGCGTCGAAAATTAATCGTAAAAGGGAACTTTATATATAATTATTATATATAATAAGCAGCAATAAACTCGTCAACTTACGTCGCAGAGGTACGACAGTAGGTCGAACGTGTCCGATCCGGTCGTCTCGATCGTACATAGCTCATCAAACGTTTCGCGCTGATTTGCGGTGGGGTCGAACGATGAAGTCGGGCAAGCCAGATCGCCGTTCGCGCGATACTCGGGTTGGAGCAACGCATCGGCATCTGCGTTATGTTTTTTACTCGACGCGGTACTTGTAGAAGCTATAGATTCGGGTGACATTAACCACGAGCTGGTTGCCTTCTTCTCCTCGTTATTATACTTTAATCCGTAATCGTTAACCAGTTCCGGTGGAGATAGCAACAGATGACTATTGTCACTTGAATCTTCAATCGTCTTAACGGTATTCATTTTCAAATTCAGCTCTTCATCATCAGTACTCTTCAAATCCTTTAATGTCCCCTCTTCTTCTACAGTCGAAACACCGTTACCCTCGTATTTTGTACCTGGAACACAGTCGAGCCATGGCTATGTTGCGTTCTCTATTGCGATTAATAAAATAAAAAATTTTTTTAGTGGCAAACAATTTTTTATATTCTGATGTTAATATATTTATATATAAATGAGAGAGGGTAATATTATTGTCCAGTAAGTTGACACAAAATGTTATATTTTTTGCGTGGAACTTAGGATGTGATAACAAAAAGTTGGTCCATTAATTAAACTATATATAATTATTATTTTATGGCAAATTGGGTGTGAAAAAAGAAAAATATCTTAAAATTTAATATATCAACAATTTTTTTAACATAACGTTTAAGACATATCATCACTAAATCACCTACGTATCTATAAAAAAATAGGGATTTTAAATCAATCTTAAATAATGCTTTATTTTTAATATCTTGTAATATTGTATCTGATCGATGATAATGGTGAGTCCATAGAGGTTTCAAAAGTCTGTTTGTAAATAATATTTTCAAAACTGAAATACGTAGATATAAGTACAAAGTTAATGGCATTTAAAAATTCTGTCATAAGGATGTCTATCTGTTTTCTTATGCATGCCCATCTGCTTTTTAAGCCGGAATAAAGTAAAAATTATGCGTATAATGCATTATATATATATATGTATATTATATATATATATAAATGTATATAGATACCTGATAGTTTAAACGTAGTCGATTCACCTATATGAAAATCGCATTGAGCCTGAAACGTATCCATGCACCAACTGCTCAGATCCTGAAAGTCCTCCTCCCAAGCGGGAAATGCCGCGGTGGCCTCTTCTCTCGTAGAAGAATTTATCTTTGTGTGCGGGAATATCCAAGGTTCTTTCAAAAATTCGGACTCCATTGTGGGACTTAGGAGTGGTATTGTCTCCACCTTCGTCGAGGTGACATCGCTCAGTGGCCGCGATCTCACGCCACGAGTAACAGATAACGGCTGCGGCTGACGGTTGCATGATTTTGATACCTGAAAGTTTGGCATCTCGCCGTGAATGTCCGATCGTCCGAGAATCCCAGATTCCTTCTCAGGATTCTCTTCGAACAGTACTTACGTTATGAACACCTCCTTCCTCAAATGAAATGTTGCTGGTTGTTGGACGTTCGTAGATGGGAGGGATTTTGGAAGCCTGAAATAAATATAGATCTGATTCAGTACGATGATTGAATTGTCAATTTAATTGTACTTGACGTTGCATCAAAACTAATTAAATGTCGATATTTGCGAGGTAATATTTTACCACATTAATGTCTTTCAGTGCAGATATTTTAGTGGATCTATATTAACCTCGCGGGCGTGCTTTTTATACATCATATCGATAACAAATTCTGAGAAACACTGAAAGTCATTATGTTTATTATACATAAAATCTAATAAATAATAGCTAACATCCACATTTCTGCCTTTGCATTGATGAACAATAAGCGAAATAGTAATTTATTATGATAACGTCGTACTAGTATATGTTCCGAGAAATTGATCCTATCTTATGCGTTAAATGATTATATCTGCGTCACATATGTAAAGTGTTTCGGGAATCTTGCAATGTTTTGATCAGATAAAAACAACAATTCATTTGTTTTAATGAATTGGAGGTCAATTGTCGTTCGGCAGAAATTGGTATCGAATCGTGACTTATGATAAATCTCTCGCGCGATTCTGCTTAATCATCTGCGAGTTGCTCCAAAATCTTACGTCACGACTTTCTATATATGCAACTTATCTGTATCTTATCTGTATACATCTTTTGCGATTATACATGTTAGTCAGCCATTAGGAAAGCAAATATAGCTTGTTGTTTCCGACACACACGTTATCGTTCGCGAAAAACTTCTTTTTTTATTTATCGTTTTGAGACAATTTAAACTAAGACGTAATCGTGTCCTATCTTATTATAGAGCATTTTTATTATAAAGAAAAAAATATTTCTTTGCGATATAAATAATTTTGGTCAAACTTCAACTCACGCGCGTTGTTTTCCCGTGGCGTATCGGTTAAGGCGCACTGCGGGAAAAGCGATAGTCGTTAGCTAGGCCGGCTGGTTACGTAACGCCGTGGCGTTCAAACGCATGTTACTCCGATTTTCGCGGAATCGGCGTGAGTTACATCATTTCGCGGCGTAGCTCTGAAAATCGCGATCCCGTCTCTAATCTTTTGCAAAACGTCACCAGGAAGACTCCGAGAGAGATTGTATATCCACGCGAGACACGAAGATATATAGTCGCGCCGATGACGACGACGACGTCAACACGCGCTCCAATCGATCCTTCGTAGTCTCGCGACTACGCAGCACTTTTCAACAGTCGGCGCGCTTCTCGTCGACGGTCTGAGGAGGTGTTATTTTATACGGCACGTTTACTTCCTCGGCCAGGTGATTATATAATTCGCGCGAATCGCTCGTTTATATATCGAGAAATTGCACGAGCTCAAAATACGCAAACAATTACTTACCCTCCCTGAGACGATTGGTGTCGGTGTACCTTCCACTTGGCGGCTGAGTAGAATCTAGTAAAAAAGGGATCAGAAACGATTGATTCGTCGCACTAATAATAACTGTTCTCCTTGCTCGTCTCACGTGGGCGATGCGATGTATTAGAATCAGATGGACGTGCGTGGATGTTGCGTATAACTCTGTCGTGTGGTCGTTTTGATCACCGCTGTTGAAATGCGACTCGAGAGACGGTAGTACCGGGTTAAACCACGTCACGGGACGGCGTTGGGAGAGTATACCATCGTGGTGGACGTCATTTGTGGCGAATCGGAGCCGTGGTGAGCTCACCATGTACGAATCAGAGCGATTTGCGGCGCCGTCGCGGCGCACCGTCCGGAACACGTCATGTGCGGAATTCGAGACGATAATCTCTTTGGGAGTCGATAATTTATTGTTCCTTCGCGTGGTTTCTCGCCAGCGGCCGCCTGTTACTCTGGGCGTTTTTCGATGCCGCATATTATCGATCATTTATTGTAACAAGAGGAATTTCGCTATTTCGCTATTTTATTTAGAATTTCATTATATTTAACCTTCTCGAAATCTAAATCACGTATACGGGCGACGAAAAAATTTTATCTTGTTGTATATCATCGTTGTTTATAACAAAAAATTCTAACGTTTCTTGATAATGTATCAATAGCGTGAGTCATAGTCGGAATAATCACATATTATTGTGACAACGGGCGAGTGGGACTAAAGTAGAGGATTCTAATTTGGAGTTTGTTACTACTTCGAGAAATTTCGGACAGAGAGAAAGTACGGCAACCGGATGTAACAGTAATTGTTACGTAACAAATACGAAAATAGTTGCAAGATGATCTAATTGCAAGTGAATCTATTAGGCAAAAATAGTTTTTTATTAAATTTGATTTACTCTCCAATCCCTCCCCCCATTAAAAAGAGAGAAAAGAAAGAAAATTATATATAAAAAAAGATATGATATCTATATAAAATATTGTTAAAGGAGAAACGTAAAATATTGTGACGATAAGATTAAATATCGCTCGCAAAGTGCATATATATAGTAATGCAGCTGCAAAATTGCTACTTTAATAATACATCGTCCAATGTTATCGTGCCTCGGTTGCAACCAAGTTACGACGAGCAATGACTAAATAGAGGCTAGATGGAGTTGCCAGTACAACTGAACTTGATGTTTACTTTCATAACATTTTGATGATTGAAAATATATGATTTCGCAATTATTTCAGAAAATAGAAAATTGTTATGGACTTGGCGATTATTTTTATTTAATGCCGATTACAAATTGTAAATGTAAATCTTGTACAAAAAATGTGCATTTATAAAAAACAAATTTATAAAAATAAGTTGAATATTAATTTATGAAGAAAGCAATTTAGTGATTATAGATTGAGATTCTGGTATGCGACTTCGGTTTCTTCCATGAATTCGGTATATAAGGAAAGCGAATAAACTGAAGGGTCTCTGCAATGACGCACATCGCGATCTCGCCAACGATCTCTCTTTTTGCTCATGTATATAATTATCATAAACGCATATCGCAAACTAACCCAGTCTCCTATCTCCGAAACGGGATTCCCTATATGACATCAAATAACTCTGTAATGGTTCAGTGAGTTTTGCTAGATTTCATTTTTATATCATTTCCGTAGTATCCAGTCTTAAAAATAACACGTATAACTCTCGAATATATTAAGAAAAGTTATAAAATATTCTAATTCTTTTTTCTCTCTGACGAAATTAAGATATTAATCAATACAAAAAGGCAAGGCCAATTGGAGCCCAGACGCGGTATTTAATGCGTAATAAATATGTTTTTAAAAAATTATATTAAAGAACATAATCCAAATTAGTAAATAAATAATATAAATTAACTTAACTGAAATTAAGATAGTTGTCTCGCCAATCGCAATTAACAAAAGAAATTTGAAAATTTAACTATATGTTAATAAATGTGGTATCTACACGTTTGCACAATTTAAAAGCAATTGACCGTTCCGATTGTTAGATAATCAAAAATTGCATTTTTTACATGTATCGCATACACGAAGCATACGAAAATCTCGTATTTTGAATTTTAATAATTAGAACGAACAACAAGAAAGTGATGAAAAACATATATAGTAGATAGGACATTTTAGAAATACTAGTAAAAAAAACCGAAATGATTGACCGTTTAATCTTAGAAATATAATAATAAAAAGACTTCACGGTATCATTTCATTTTTGTTGCTCACCAAAGGTTAAACAAAGACAGATGATGCTCGCGAGCATTGCGGGCGTTGACTTAGCGTACAGAATGTCCAAAAGTTTTCAGTCGGTAACCGTAGTTGAATGTTGACTCAGAGTATAAAATTTTGGATCAAGCGTCGCGACGCCAAGTATATGAAAAAATTTCTTTCTGGCTTGTCAACGGTTTGCCTATGTACAGGGGCCGCGACGCTACCAAGTAGCTTTTCCGGAGTTTTTACGTCTAATAAACTTTCGATTAAAATACCTCAGGAACTAATGCCGTAATCAAAAATTTAACGGCACAGTGTGCAAATACGCCTTGAGAGATAATGTGTATGTGCCTGCATACGTATCAAATCAAGCGACGCCAAAATATAAGCGGGGAGCACACACTTTTGCATAATCATAAGCATAAGAAATTTGATTGGTCAATTTCTTTATGCATAAGGAAATGGACCAATCAATTTCCTCATGCTTATGATTATACGCTTATGCAAAAGTGCGTGCTCCCCGCTATAATGTTATTAAGGTTAAGATTATCTGTTGCAGAAAATATATTGGTGCTATCGAGTAAGCAGATTGAAAATTTCGTATATATATCTGCTTATACATGTTTATTTATTGTTTTATAAGTATATTTTTTGATTATATCTGAATATTGTCTAAATTATAGCGCTTATTTGCAGGATAAAGCGAAATCAATCAATCCTTTCAAGAAGACCGGTATACTTTTAGCTGGGATTTCTTCAGCTGGGATTGCATACGGTATAAGACCGTAGGCAATCCCAGCTGAAGAACTTTGCTAAACAGCGCAACATATTGGGTTATAGAGATTTGGCAGTAACAGACAGTAAGTACAATTAAGTAGCACATATAAAACATAAAGTAGCACATATAAAACCAGATATGTAAACTAAATTAAATATTACAATTCTTTGCACACAGATAGAGGGAAGTGAGAAATAACATTAATTTTTATGCAGGAAACATAACGCTAACAGCATGCATAGAAGATCATCAGTTTCAACCTAAAAACTTCTGGAATGGTCGCTGGCCTTTGGTGTGGACCGTAAGTTTTACTCCAAATTCAGGAAACGCCGAATTGAGAGATAGCCTCAAAGTACAAGTACATTACTACGAAGATGGAAATGTACAATTGGTCAGTAGCAAAGGGGTAAAGGAGAGCCTGCCCATCTCCAACAAGAAGCAAACAGCGAAAGATTTGATACATGCTGATTGTAAAATATAGGATCAGTATTCACAACAATAGAACCTTTGTATAAATGTTTCTTCGCTTTAATTCTGATCATCTTTTTTAAATTGATAATTTTATTACTATATAACTACATCAGTCTATTCTAGCACAATTTATCTGTCACTTGATAGTTTACCCTGACTCAAAGCAAAATTGTTTTTATCATTTCATCATTGAATTTGCAATCAAATACTAAAATTTGCATAATGTGTTATTTACATTTTATGAACATAATTATGGATCATGAAAAGTCTACGATAAATAAATAAATAAATAAAAAAGAATATGAAAAAATCAAACTAACACGTAATAAAATTATGTTCACGTTACAATTATACCAAAAACTGTGAAGCTATATATTTTTCATCAGATTGTCTTTATTTTCACTATATGTATACTTGTATAACAATGTAAGTCTACGTCTAGTATGTAGAACAATGTAAGTCTATCTACGTCTAGTATGTATAACAATGTAAGTCTATCTACGTCTAAACTTTTAATTTTTCTAAAAAAAAATAATTTTGAAAAGAATATCAGTAAAATATGATTTATTTATTAAATATATAGAAAATTTACATTAAAATCCTTGCAATTAATGCCAACGTTTTTAATATATAAATTTTCTAAATTGAGATTTTTTATATACCTGTCGTATTTTTTTTACCTTTGTATTATCGCGAGACAACTACTTTAATTTGAAGTTGTTAACAAATATATATATGTATGTACGTGACACATGAGCGTGTCCTATGACAATTGTTTCTTTGCTTAATCAGGCATGTTTTAAATTGTATTGAGGGTAAAACAAATTTTTGCTTCATTAAATTTTTTATAATATACGAAGAGAATTTGTACAAACAAGTAAGAGTGTGGATTTTGTTTCGAAATATTATAAAGTATTATACTTTACTCTACAATGTTTGCAGACGTGCGATAAACGCGATTCTGAATTCTTATCTCTGATTAAAAATGGTTTTCGGTGAAGTGTGAAAGTAAAAAGTACTCTTAAACCCAATATTTATGATGAATCGAGAACAGGGCGCTAACTATGAGGATCGCATCAAAGTATATCAACACTCT